TTGCCAACACAGAAATGCAAACTACTATTTCATGTCTTATACAATTTACTTAAATGTAAATGTATGTTCAAAGCAGTACCACGTTTAAGCAAAGATCAATCGAAGAGCTCTAGATGTAAATATGCACAGAATCAGTTGCCTCTTGTATTGAGTGCATTGCTATAACATTTCTTTTTGAGCGATAGATAGGGTCCTCTTGCAAGGGAGACTGGTTGGTTGGGAAGGTTGTATATGGGATCTGGTCTATTGCTTCCGATTCACCTACTCTACTCGATTGAATCCTTCACGCATTCGTAGTGCATTTTTTAGCACGAGGACTCTGATTCTTCAAAAGTTGTGACGCAACGCGAAACATGGAATTCAAGCGAAAATCTTAAGAATACAAATCATAAATCCACTAGATAATATAAAAAATCAAAATCAAGAAGTTTCATTAATTTCAAGATGCCTGAAAATAGAGAATTAACTCTTTATTTATAAGGGTTTAAACGAAAAGCTAGTCTAAAGGAATTAAAATTGTAAAAAATTCGAAACAAACTAAATTACAAAAATAGCACTAAAACTTAAAAAGCAATTTTTGAGTCATAAATGAACTCGTATGGCTAAAATCCACCATACATGGGGAAAAATGGTGAGTTCAGTCCGTCTCGTGGTTCTGTTTCTGAAAAGGTATTATGGAACAAATCTGAGCTCGAATGGCAAATTTGCAATTACTATTTTTTCCCTTTTTAGTCCAAATGTTCTTCGATCCACTCGATCACATCAAATAGTCATATCCTTGATCAATTCTATCCCATCGACCTTGATAGGAATTAGTAATTTTAGTAAGAGGGGCTTTAAGTAGAGGCATCATACCTAGCCTACTTTGTCTCGATTTACTCCACCATCTCAAGTTGACAGTGCAAAAATAAGGGAACAAAGATTAGGAGGTTAAGTAGCACGGGGGCTTAAGCAGAGGCATCCTATAACTTAATCTAGTCAAAATCAAACAGGAATACACCACAGTTGACAACTTACAACTTCACCTGGAAAAAATAACGTGCTCTGCTGTTGACTTTGTATGATTGGAAAGAAGATGTAATCATTCAGAATTTAGTAAAGTTCTAACTTATTTTCTAAACTTACACAACTGGGTTGTCTGCCTAGACTCCCTTGACACCGACTGCTTACCTACCTGGTAGACTAACTCATATCTTACCTGCTCAATTTACACCCAAGATACGAAATTTCAATTCTTAATCTTCATCTTTATGGCTATTGAGTGATAAAGACCTATAGCTGATATTAAGTCCTGGCTTGAGAAACGGTAATAAGTGGGTTCCAAGGACACACAATAATTTGGTGTTAGGAGAGTCTTATGTTTGTGGTGTTTTAGTTCTCTATTGCCCGATCATCTTGTCGTATACATTGATC